GTCGTAGAGCGAGCCTATCTTAACAACCAAGAACTTTGTCATCCGAGTGACATGTTGAGGTTCAGTCCCTATGGTGACCGGTAGAGTTATTTTTCCTTCAGGCCTGACAACTGCCCTAGAGAAGCTGACAAGTGGCACGTCAATGGGTTGTAGTCGGTCTGGTGTTAGCTGCATCTTCTCAGACGTCTCATAGAACAGAATATCGGCTGAGGAGCCATTGTCTATGAGGATCCTCTTCACCATGTAGTTGGAGATGGTCATTGACACCACCAACGCATCATCGTAGGGCATAAACACCCCTCATAGGTCATTGCCAGAGAAGGAAATAAGTTCCTCCAACCTTAGCTTCTTCGTTGCTTGGCTCTAGATGTTGTATTGCCTAGTGTATGCCTTTTGAGATGAGGTGGATGCTCCCCCCGAGGTCAAACCTTCGGCTATAACTTCTTTAACTCCGACGATGATTGCGGGGCTCAGCTTATGACTGTTGGGAGGATGACGTTGGGGCATTGCCTTCAACAAAGTCCTTTAAGTGCCCGTGGCAGATGAGGGACTCGATCTTGTTCTTGAGTTCGTAGTAGTCCTCGGTGTCGTGGCCGGTTCCACGGTGGTACTTGTAGTATTTCTTGGAATTCCCTCTTCTCAGGTTTCTCTTCAACTTAGATGGCCACTTCATGAATTCCTCCTTCCTTACTTGCATCAGTATGTGCGTTTGGGAGGAGTTTAGTGGTGTGTACTTATTGAAGGAAGAGGTTGACGGCTTCTTCTCTACACCTTAGTTGTTGGGACCGTCTTCATGGCCATCTCTTTCCCTTCCTCTTCTTTTCATTGGGCCTTCGGTTGGCCTCGACTTCTAGTTCTTAGAGGCACTTGTTGGCTTTAGCTCTTCGGTGGTGATGTACTTTTGAACCTTCTTCAAAAACTCAGCTTTGGTCTTGGGCAGAGTCTTGGAGAGGGACCAGCTGAGGGGTCTAGATCGGAGGCCATTGATGGTCGCGTGCATAGAGACCGAGGGGTCTATGTCCTTGACCTCGAGTTCTTCCTAGTTGAACCTCTTCATATATGCTCGAAGGTTCTCTTCGCGCTTTTACTTGATGGACATTAGGTAAATGACATTTTTCTGACATCGTTGACTGCTCATGAAGTGGCCCAGGAAGGGGTCCGCAAACTATTCCTATGAGCTGATGGAGTGTGGAGGCAGTGTGGAGAACCATCGACATGCTGATCCTTTTAACATGGCTTGGAAGGCCCAACACATGACAGTGCCAGAGTACCCGCGTAGGAGCATGAGGGCCCAAAAGCTTTCGAGGTGGTCTTTAGGGTTTGTGCTCCTGTCTTAGGTCTCTAATGTCGAGGCCTTGAAATTTGGTGGGAGGGATCAGAGAGAATGGAATCTACAAATGCCTCCATTCGGCTGGATGAGGCATGGAAACTGGTGGAGGCATCACCTTGGCCCTCCTTTAACTGCCAAAGCTGGTCCTGAAGGGCGCCAATTTGTGCTTGAATGTCTCCGAAGCACTAGTCGATGTAGGGCATTGTTTCTTCGGAATGATCTTGGTTCTCTTGTATGTAGGACAGGCCAACCTTGTTCCCAGAGTGATCGAATGCCAATATGTTCTGGGCCTTGCAAGCGCAACAATCATTGAGGATGTCGCGGAGGCCAGAGACTGGAGGGGGAGAGGCGTGGCGTCAGCCTCCTGCCCCCAGAGGGGGACTATGGTGGCCTGAGCGCCTGCCGTCGTCCTAGTTGTTCACAGTGTGATGATGCTGATGGTCTTGCTTCTTGCGATCGACATGGGATCCTACAGGGTTGCCCCCTCCGTTGGAGAGCCAAGGGGTCTTGGAATGGGGCTTGCTAGCCCATCGGCTACTATTGTCAGAATTTGAGCGGTTGACCCCTTTCGGGCCCCCCAAGTGTTGGCTTAGTGGGGTGTGGGCGGATCGCCCTCCGCGCTGTTCGTGGCTCCTAGCGGGGCCTACCCTGTGAGTGGCTTCCTGTTGGATGCCCTATGTTGTCTAATTGCTGGGTTAGGTTGTCTAGCCTGCTTAGGACCAGCTTGAACTAGTTGATTGTAACTAAGTTTTGGATGTTAAGGACAGGGTCTTGCTTGTCAACCATTTTAGGGATGCTAGTCGATTAAATTAGGTTAGTTTTTTTCTTAAGGGAAAGTTTTGAAGAAGTGTTCCCATAGACGGCACCAATTGTTGCTACCAAATGCGGTGCTGAAGGCAACAAGGTAATTTCTAGCGTCCGAGGCTGATAGGTCCAACCTGAGAGAAGAAGTATGTCAGAGGCCCTGGGAGTTATCTCAGGGATGAAGACTTCGATGGTCAAGTTAGCCAAGAGCTGTGAGTGGTCGGACCAAGCAAGAAAGGAGATTTGGAGCTTAAGTTCCGGTGTATCTTTACCTCAATGTAAGAGCCCCTTTTTATAGTCAAAGTTGCTTGAGAGGAGGAGTAGTTGGGAGCAGGTGGCGGCGGTTGGTAGTGGTTGGTGATGGGTGGTCAGGATACATCTGCCCGATGCCACATATTAGGGTCCGTGAGATGGCTGGGATGCGTTCGGCCAACGCCATGTGTCAAGATCTACAGGTCGGCCAAATACTCCTACATCAGCAATATTCATTCGCATTGTTTTGTTTATTTGGGTTCTTGTTTTTGTTATCTTATTTGATTTTAGTGAATTGGTTGAGTGTCACTATGTTACATTTGGGTTTTTCTGTCTCAACTTTGCAAGTTAAAGGACCTTTTGCATTACTTTTGATAAAAATCTAGTTTATAAGAAAGGATTGCAGGCCAAAACTTCCAAGCTATTGAGTACAATACCTCCGTTGTTACGATAGATCTACAAGCTTCAGAGATTCCAAGGAAAGGCTCCATTCCTAGAGAGAGAGAGAGAGAGAGAGATGGTGTAATGGGTGGGAATGGCCTTGCTGGTGGGATTTTAACGAGGGGCAATTCGGTGAAAAAAGTTCGATGTTTTGTCTTGCTAATTTTTTTTGTAATTTGTTTTGAAACATATCTGATTTTGTTAATATGTAAAACTTTATTAATTTTTTTTTTGTAAAAAGCCCTTTTATATATAATATATAGATAGTATGTGAGATATTATACATATATATACTAAATAAATAAATAAATACATATATTGGTCAGTTCAATTAAATGCATTTCTAGGTTAATCGAAAACCAAACCGATCCTTCATTTTTTTAGAAATATCAAACCAATTAGTTTGATTAACCACATTTTTCGATTTGATTTTCTTGGTTTAGTTTGATTTTTCATTTTTTCGGTTTTTAATGAGCACCCCTACCTCAAAATTCATAATTTGATCGTACAATTTGGGTTAGTGTCAGGGGGGAAAGATTCCTAATTCATGGGGGATGGTGTTTATTGGGGGAGCTGGGAATAAATACATTTTGAGATTATTCCCAATTCTGAGGTGAAATGGATTGTAAAAAGTCCATACAAATCAATGTTTTGAAAAACCGAATTGGATTGGCTGGTTGGATTGAGATCTAGCCCCATGGCTGGTCTGGATGTACCCCCAAAACCGGTGTGTTGAAAAAACACAAATAACCGGCCATGCGACTAGTTCAACCGGCGAACTGTAGATCCGATCCCGGTTTTCTATAACTGGTTGATTTTTTCCATATTCATATTTAGTACAAAAAGACAAAAAAAGCCAAATTGGGCCAAACAGGCCCTTAGGTCCAACCGGATCCTAAGTTTCCAACCTAGCCAAAGAAAAGTAGAAAACTATCGATCTATTTCTCTCCTCTTCCTCTCTATTCATTCAAACCTAACCTAACACCACCACCAGTGTCTCTAGCTCTACGGCTGCCATTACTGCCGCCGACAGGTACTCTCTCTCCTCCTCTTTCTTCTTCTTCTTCTTGTCGATGAACTCTGTTCACCACACACGTCCCTCTCCCTCTAAATCCACTAGCTGGTTCCTCTCCTCCTCCTCCTCCTCCTCCTCCTTCTTCTTCTTCTTCTTCTTCTTCTTCCACTGATTTCTAAATTAGAAACCTGATTTTTGCAACATTTGTTTTCTAATTCTACAACATTTATTCATTATTGATTAGGCTTTTTATAGTTTAGTTTATAGTTTACACTTAAATTTTTAATGTTTATTTTTTAATTACTGAACTTGATTATTTAATTACTCATAGTTTTGTAACTTCTGATTACAAGTTTGCTCAAAATTGAAATTCCAATTTGATTTTTGCTTTAGACTTGGAATTTGATCTTTCCTTTAGGCTTTCACTTCAATCCACCAAGTGGAGTTCCAACTAATTGTTCAGTGACTTTAGTCTTGCATGTTAGCCTACCTAATTGTCTAAGCCCTTCGAAATAACTGAAAATTGAAATTGAATTCAGAATTGTGATAGTGATAATGTGATACTAAAATAGCTGGAAATTGAAATGAGTTTTACTTTGATTATACTAGTGATGATGGTGGTTATAATTAGGATTGAGTCTTGAATTTTATTGGATTGTTGATGTATTTGTTTTCATCGTGGGACATACTGTCTTAAACCTTCAAAGTTTGAAGTGTTATCGACTTATTTCTATTTTGGACTAACTTTCCTTCATATTCATTAAGTTTTTTGAATTTTATTTATTATTACATTAACATGGTTCGACCTCCAGTTAGACCCCAGTCAGACCTTGACCCATGAACCTCTCTCATCGATAAAAAGCGCCTTTTAAACTTAAAACTAAAAAAAAAAATGCCTTTTCAATCCTAACCCTAATTCGAACTTCAATCCAACCCTAAGTTTTCGGGCTGGGTTCGGGTTGTGTTTGGGCTAACCCGCCCAAGTTGCAACCCTACTTTTAAACCGTTTGATGACTTTGGCTTCTATACGACCATATGTTGGAGGGTAGGTCCGACAACGGATGACTTGTAGGAACAAAGGAGCCACGTGGCACGCCCTGATCGCTAAACCTCACTCTCTTTCCTCTCCGTTTTATCCTCAACGATTCCCCCCGACACGAACTTTTAGCTCTCTCTCTCTCTCTCTCAACTCGACTATTCTTTTTCTGAGGCTGAGCAGAGAAAACCGCCATTATCTCAATGCTCCGTTTCTCCATTTGATGAATTCACTCCTGCTTCCCGGCCTTGGAACACAGTTAAGCAGATGGACGGTCTCACTCTCACCACCGGCTGCTCCCGTCGGTTTCTTCACTCCTCCGCGAGAGCTCGAACAATTAACCACCACTTTTTCTCTCGTCGACCTGGTTTTCTCGTTTTCGCTTCCAAAGACGGTCCCAATCTTGACCATTGGGACCAAATGGAGCTCAAGTTTGGTCGAATGCTTGGAGAAGACCCCAAACTAACCCTAGCCAAGGTCTGCCTCCTTACTCGACTCCTTTCTGCTAACTTCTAGCTTTCTTCTATGGTTCTTGCTTATTATTTGTGTACTTAGAAGAAGGAATTGCATATTTTTTCTGCAGATAATGGGAAGAAAATCGAACCCGGATATCTCTTATCTGGAAATCGAGAAATCATTTCAGAAGAACAGAGGCAAATTAAATGACAACATCAAGGAGGTTCCATTTGATGAGAGCAGTGAGGAAGGACAGGAGCAATTATCTACTTCCTTGGACAGCTTGAATTTGTTGCGACCTGTTCCGAAGAAAGGATTCAAACTTAAGGCCGAGGAGAAGGTGCCCGTAACCCAGATAAGAAAGCCAAGCCAACCAGTTGGCAAGGCAGTTGATACTACCAAGAGCAGCATTCCTAATGTAATATTGCGGAAACCTTCCACTTTTAATGAAGATGACGTTGATATGGAGAAATCTTCGTCGAGGTTAAAGATTAAGCCAAACTTGTTCTTGAAGATGCGAAAGGAGCAACCTAAGGAGAGTTTTAGTGATATTACGCTTTTGAAGAAGCCTGGACTGATAAGTGTCCCTACGGATTCTGGTGAAGCTGTTGAAGATCGCTTAATGTCTGCGTCTTCAAAAGCTGCTGATAATCTTGAAAACGATACTTTGAGCGTGTCTGCATCTGTTGGAATGGCTGACGCGGCTGAGAAAATAGGTAATGCACTAGTTTGCTAATTGTTTATTTTGGTGGTTGAAGTTCTAAAAACTAATGCCGTACTTTTTTTTTATTTTTTAAGGATTACAGCCACTTGAGCAGAGTGATTTGGGTTCTGCTGGAAAGAAAGCTTCTGTATCTCAGCCTTTGAATACACTCTCTGTAGAGACCGCATTGCTAGGAAAACCTCAGAGGTTTTCTAAACATCTCCATTTTTTATAGTTTCTCCATTTTCTGCTCGTCAAACGTTGCTTTGTCATTGAAGGGATTATTGAATTGTAGGTTGGACATATCTTCAAGAGAAAGATCACCTCCTGCTAGAGTAGAGTCTGTCCGTGTGAGTTCTGAAAACTATAGTGATGCGGCTGAAATTGAAAAGTTCCTACAAACTCCACCCCTACAGGTGATGGTCATTCTCTTACTTGATTCCTATATTTGAACTTCGAAATAATAGGTATATGTTCTTGATTACTGAGGAAGATAAGGATTTTGAAGAGCCATGCCAATGATCCTTTCTGATAAACCATTCTCCTAAATTACGTTTAGCCTCCTGCTTTTGAATTCTCAACTTTCACCAGTACAATTGAATTCTGAGTATGTTAGATAATTGCAGGAACATGAAGATGCTGACTGGACCAGGGCAGAAGATCTCCTTAAGACAGGAGGGAGGGAAGAAGTAGAATTAATTAGCTGTAGCACCAGAGGTTTTGTTGTAAGTTCCCTCAGAAACTATATTTCTTCTCTGCTGGTTTAGTATGACCTTCATGCCTAAGACCTTGTCCATGCTTTGTTTGTGCAGTAGTGCTATACAGCATGATTCTAACAATTTCATCATTTCTATTCATGTTGACCTTTTTTTTTTCTTTTTGTATCATTTCCAGGCATCTTTTGGCTCTTTGATTGGATTTTTGCCATACCGAAATCTTGGTGCCAAGTGGAAATTCTTAGCTTTTGAATCATGGTTGAGAAAAAAAGGCTTAGACCCATCTATGTACAAGCAAAATTTAGGCATTGTTGGAAGTTACGAAGTTCAGAACAAAAATGTTCCTCTAGATCAAAATCCCAGTCTTGTTGAGCAGCAAAATAATGGAATACTGACACCAGACATGAAATTGGAAGATCTTCTTGAGATTTATGACCAAGAGAAAATCAAATTCTTGTCATCTTTTGTTGGTCAGGTTTGGAGAATTCAACTTGGGATCAGTATTCTTATCATTTCCATTTTGAATCTTGATTTCATGCAAGCCTTTCTGTTTTGCAGAGGATCAAAGTGAATGTGGTGCTGGCTGACAGGAACTCTAGGAAGTTAATGTTCTCAGGGAGGCCAAAAGAAAAGGAAGAATTGGTTGAGAAGAAGAGAAATCTCATGGTAAGTTGGTTCCTGTTTCCTGTAGTGCTTGCAAATATCTATTGTTTGGAGAAGAGTTTCAAAGGGTTTTCATGAATTTCATGCCTCCAATAAAGCACCTGCAAAAATCTGATTTTAGCAATTAAGCCCTCCTTTTGCATGAAAAACCATTTTGCACTTAAGTTGCAAGTTTACCTATATGTTTAACAGACCAACTTTATCCAACGAACCAAATGGTGACGCTTGAGAATTATCAAAAAAAAATGGTGATGTTTGCCAACAATTGAAGCTTACCCTTGTTTGAAAATACCAAATTATGATTTCATTCTAAAACTTGTTTTTATTGTTGATGAATTCTCTTTTTTTTGCAGGCTAAACTCAGTGTAGGGGATGTTGTGAAATGTACTATCAAGAAGATCACTTATTTTGGCATATTTGTTGAGGTAAATTGAAGGTTCTGCTCCTTTTCTTTCCTTTTACTTTAACTATTACTCTTATTATCATCTTCAACATGATCATCATTTTAGTTCATGATATTCCTAACCCATATAAACTTTTGAAGGTTGAAGGAGTTCCAGCTCTAATTCACCAGTCAGAAGTCTCATGGGATGCAACCTTGGATCCCTCATCCTTTTTCAAAATTGGGCAGGTATTTGAGTGTATTATGATCAGTATATTGCAAAGTGTTTTTTATTTACGGATTTAGAATTTGTGAACTGAGAAAATAATTTATGGGATAAGTCTAAGAAGATACAATTATGGAGTCTGTCTTTGTCCATATGAGGCATGCCTTTCCCATTGCGTTAGCTGAATTAGAGAGAGGAATTTGCTTGGTCTTTCATTTGTTGCTGCTTTTAGTTCTCACTGTTGAATATCCTCTTTCCAAAATATTCTTCAAGTTCTTATGAAAACGATTGTGGTTTCAGATGGTGGAAGCAAAAGTTCATCAGTTGGATTTTTCACTTGAACGCATCACCTTATCCTTAAAAGAAACTACGGTACTCTTATGGACTGACCATTGCCATTATCCTGGTTACCTTATTAAGAAAGTTGTGATAAACTAATGGTTATTTTTTTATCTTCATTTTATCTTTTTTCTTTCTTTTATTGCAGCCAGACCCACTAATTGAAGCCTTGGAGTCTGTAGTTGGTGATCACAATTCTTTGGACGGGAGGCTCGAAGCAGCAAAATCAGATGTTGAGGTTATTGAATCCAGTCTGATATTGTGAATATATATATATACATGTTTTAGTATTTCAGATAAACTTGAAGTAAGTGGGTTTCAGAGATTATTTTAACGGTAGTTGAGACTTCTACAAGAACTTGTTAATAAAATGCAAGGCAATCATCTAAAATTAATCTTACGGTGGTATAACTTGTTCAATGATGTTCTACATACACATTTGTGTTACCATGAAAATTGAACCTCCTCAACTAGACTGCTCAAGCTGTAGACTAACTAAATCCAAGGCTTCTATTGAAGGTGTATTTTTTTTTTCCCTTTGGAATTTTAGGAGCTAAAGAAAGGATGTGAAAGAAAACTCACCAGAGAAACATCTAATAATCATTAAATCACAGATGGGATCAGAAAGTGGAGGGAAGTGGCAAGGATTTCTACAAGAAAGACACCAATAAGAAGAGATTAAATACCATATAAAGGTGGCTTCCTAAAGCTTAACTTTAATGGTAGCGGTATTGGGAATCTAGGTCCATCAGGAATAGGATGTTTTTCAGAAATAGGAAGGCCATATAGTGGCACTGTTTTTGGGTCCAATTGGCATAGGGGACTCCTTAAGGGCAGAGATTATGGCGGTTATAGAAGGAGTACAAAGGGCAAAGAAGATGAATATCACCAAGTTAATTATTGAAGGAGATTCAAATGAAAGCTATTGATATTTCAACTCTCTCACAATGAAGGAGGTGGTTGTGGATTCGCCAAGAGATATCAATGACAATCTCAAACTGTTGGAGAGAAATTTGGTGGGGCGTTTTGTTAATTATGATCCTGATGCAAAAGTAATGGGGAGATGGGTGGTTGTAGAATGGTGTCCTAAAAGTTCTCTTCATGTTAGAAAACTGAGTGTTGATTTTTTCCTCTTTATCTTCGGCAATGTGAAGGAAGTGAGAGATGTTTTAGTTTGAGAATTGTTAGACAATCATGCCCTTAGCTCCAATCAGATTGATGTATCTTTTGACATTTATTGTAAATGAATAAAGTACATAATTGATTCATGTCATTGTGGTGCGTTTCTGTGTAATACTCTTAAATTTGACGCTTATGACATTGGTGCTAGTTTAGAATCTTCACAACCATTTGATAGATTTGGGGAGATTTATCCTGCCAAGGTTGACACTGATGTGTCGCCAAGTTGGTTGGGGTGGCTTGTCTCAACTGCCAGGGTGAGACCTGAGGTACATGTAGTGTGGGTTTTCTTGAAACCCTAAATCGGACCAAATTCTAGTATTGCTCTGGACCTTGGAGATAGATGGGCAAAACTGGAATGTTACACCTGACCCCTAGACTCGATGCACTAGGTGTCGGATTGGATTGTCTTTGATATGCCAATCAGTGAGATCCTTAGAGGGGGTCAAAACCTAGGTGTGTTGGGGTAGTTTGAGAATTCACCTGAGTGGGTGATCATAGTGATAGAATTAGCCCCTTTGTCGGACAAAGTGAATGATCGGGTAATGCACTATCTCTGATAGAAACCTAAACTGCTGGCAGTTGATTTCAAACGTTGATGGACTCAGGGGTTCACTGTCTCCTACAGTGAATTCGGCTAGGCTTTGTAATAAAGGTTGGGCTGAACCCATGTGGCTGATGTGTATATCAATGTTAGGGTCTCACGCCATACAAAGAGAGCCAGCTGGGCAGCAGGTTAAGGAGTAAGTGAGCACATAAGCTTAATGGGCCTAAAGCCCAATTCGAACTGGGCTTAAGTTAGTTAATTAAAAGGGGGCCAATTCAGTTTTAAACTGATTAGGATTAGCTGAAGGATAAGATAAGTCTTATCCATTTAAGAGTCCAGATCCAAATATAAGATTTGGATTAGGAAACTCTCTCCTAATTAGATTAGGAGGCTGATCCAAGAAGGCCATAAATAAGGGCGAATTCCTCAGATTTTCACAACAGCAAATTGCAAAATTCTTCCCCTGTTCTTGCCGCCCCTACCCAGTTCGATCTCCACTTGTGGATCTGATCAAGAAAGGTTCTTGATATTGTTTCTTAGTAGAAGAAACAATCTGAAGTCGTGCTCACCAGCCCTTGCTCGATTCTTGCTGAAGAACCATCATGCTGATCCTGCTTCACTACACACTGTGTCATCTTTAGTGGAAGCGGGTTTTGGTCTTCTCTTTGGGTGCGAACACCTACGTTGGGAGTTACTGTTACTTCGTATCAGGTATATCCCTCACTTCCTAATAGTTTCAGATCTGGTCCGGTTTTGGATTCAAGAACGAAAATTGATAATGCAGTTTTCTAAATTAGGGAATACGATTCCCGAATGGGAGAGAGAAATTTTTGAAATCTCGCCCAACCTTCCTGCAGGGTTCGGCTATCCATATGATGGATCTCCCATCCCTTCAAGAACAGGGTATGACCAATGTTTTAAAACGCGGAGGCGTGACGCGAGGCGTTCCACTACCTAGAGGCATGAGGCGTAGTTCAGAATGCAAGAGGCGTAAGCCTCCTTAAGAGGAGGGGGGTTAGGAGGAAGGAGGAAGGGGAGGAGGATGAAGAGAAAGGGGGGTGGGGTTGGGTCTGGGGGCAAAGCCCCCTTGCCGAAGGGGCAAGGGGCAAACCACTTTCTTTCCCCTTATCTTTTCTTCCCTTCCCTTTCCTTTCCTTTTCTTTCATTTTCTCTCTTTTTTTTCTTCTCTTTCTTTTTCTTTCCCTTCCCTTTCTTTTCCTTTCTTTTTTTTTCTGTCTTTTTATATAAGATGTGCATACACCTCTAGCACGCCTCATGAAAAATGCGCATGAGGCATAAGTGGTAATGTGGTATTATACCAGTATTCTGCCCAAGACAGCCATTGAACCGATTTGGTGGGTCCGTCTCCTGCAAAGCACCTGAGGTAAGTCTTGAGTCAGCGGTTCACTACCTCTGTCTGGCCGTCAGACTGGGATGATAACTCGTGGAATGACACAACTGAGTTCCTTGAAGCCGGAAATATTCCTGCCAGAAATGGCTCATGAATGTGGGGTTGCGGTCTATTATAATGGCAGTAGGAGTCCCATGCAGTCCTGCAACTTCTTGAACAAAAACCTTAGCCACTTGTGCTGCTGAGTAAGGGTGGGATAGGGGTATGGCGTGAGCGTATTTGCTCAGTCTATCAACCACCACCAATATCACTATCTTCCCTGCTGACTTAGGCAACCCAGAAATGAAATCCATGGAAATTTCGTCCCATACCTGATCGGGAATGGGGTAGAGCTGTAGCAGCCCAGCAGGAGCCTGTGTGTTGTACTTCTGCTGTTGACAAACGTGGCATGCCACAATGAAATCTTGGATCATCTTCTTCATTCCTTGCCAGTAATAGTGTTCAGCTAGCTGTCTGTAAGTTCTTAGGACCCCAGAGTGACCTCCCAGAGGTGATTCATGAAAGAGATGAATCAAAGTCATTACTGTAGGATGAGTGTGGGGAAATGACCAGCCGATTCTTGTAGAATAAGGTGGTGCCTACCACAGAATATCCAGGTACTGCAGCTGGATCTGTCTGCCACTTCTTCCGCAGGGAGCCCAATTCACAATCTTGCTGGGCTTCCTCTTTAATTTGCTCTACTAAATGGTAGATGGGCTGGGAAACCTGTATGTGAAGCAATTCCTCCTGCCTGGACAGAGCGTCAATGGTGAAATCATAGCCCATGAGCCGAAAAACCCACTTCTGTTGTTCCAGTGTGAGAACTCGCTGGTCCAAGAGATGTTTTAGGCTTCGCTGGTCCGACCGAACTGTGAACCTGCCAACCTAGGAGATAGCCCCACCACTTGTGTACTGCTAGAGCTACTGCCATCAGTTCCTTCTCATAGGTGGACTTGCCTAGGGCTGAAGGTGTGAGTGCCTTGCTGAAAAAGGAGATGGGCTGTCCTCTTTGCATGAGAACATCCCCGTTGCCTCATCCCGAGGCATCACATTCTACCACAAACTCTTTAGAGAAATCAGGAAGAGCTAGTTTGGGGGTGTAGTAACTTCCTTCTTGAGATCAATGAAGGCTTCCTTGGCTTGATCAGTCCACTGAAAAGAGTCTCTTCGAAGCAGCTGGGTCAAGGGTGCCATCAATGCTCCATGGTGTCTAATGAAATGCCGGTAGTAACCAGTCAAGCCCAAGAACCTGCGAAAGCTTTTGACTGAGTTGGGCCTGGCCCAATTTGCCATGGTCGCTACTTTGTTTGGATCCGTCTTGACCTGTCCACCTGAAATGATATGGCCCAAGTAGTGTATTTGTGTCTTACCAAAAGCACACTTAGAGAGAGTAGCATATAATCTGTTTTTTCTGACAATGTCCAAAGTGGATTTGAGGTGCACCATGTGAGAGGCCCATGTAGGACTGACTGTATACTAAGATATCGTCAAAAAAGACGAGTATGAACTGGTTCAGATGTGACAGGAAGAGGTCATTCATTAGGGCTTTGGAAGGTTGACGGTGCACTGGTCAAGCTAAATGGCATGACCAAAAATTCATAATGTCCATTTTGCGTGCGAAAAGCAGTTTTGTGCACATCCTCTGGGTGGACCCGGATATGATGGTAACTTGACCGAAGATCCAACTTGGAGAAATAGACTGCTTGTCGCAGCTCATCAAGCAGTTCCTTTATGAGAGGAATCGAGAAACTGTCCTTTATGGTGATTTTGTTCAACGCCCTGTAATCAATACAAAACCTCCAAGTCCCGTCTTTTATTCAGACCAACAAGAAGGGTGAAGCATATGGGCTGTGGCTTGGTTGTATCCGTCCTTTATTGAGCATCTCCTATACACTTCTCTCTATCTCAACCCGCTGACAGAGAGGGTATTCGTAGGACTTGACCTTGGTGGGCGGGGCTCTTGGGTAGGTGGGGATTTTGTGGTCATGGGGGCGAGGTGGTGGAAGGTGCAATTGTTCATTGAAGACATTCTCATAATCGGACAGGAGCTGTTGGAGTTGATGTTGCTCCTCTGGGGTGGTATTGGGGGTAACAGGGCAAGTAAGAGTTGGTTCGTTTTCCA